TATCATTGTTTTCTCCTTGGTAGATCGAGAGAGGTTGTAATTCCTATTTTCTCATATTAAAATTCTTCTACCATTGGCCGTGGTTTTTACCCTAAATTTTTAGGGGTTTTCCACGTAAATTTTGTGTCTCTTTTATCTTCATTTTTATTTTCTCAAATTATCAGTTGCGATTTTGCTCTATCCGATAGCCGTCTTCCGCAACAATTGGTATCAGAGCTAGATTAGAGTGTGTGTAATATATGCTTATTGTCTTTGTGGTTGCCACCAAAAGGTGGATCCTCCAACATAAGAAAGTAAGAAGGTATTACCCATTCTTTGAAGGTTCCAGAGAACTATTCACGATAGTGAAATAGTGGGAGCTATCCGTAATAGAAGTTATAGCAACGAAATTTGATATTGAAAAATTTAATGGGAGAAATTTCTCATTGTGGAAATTGAAGATGAAGGTCATCCTGAGGAAAGACGGATGTCTAGCAGCTATCAGTGAAAGGCCGGTAGATTTTACAGATGACAACAAATGGATCAAAATGGACGGAAATGTTATGGCAAACTTTCATCTAGCATTAGCAGATGAAGTATTGTCAAGCATCGAGGAAAAGAAGATAGCTAAGGAGATATGGGATCATCTCACCAAATTGTACGAGGCCACATCGTTGCATAATAAAATTTTCCTTAAGAGGAAATTGTACACTCTTCGTATGCCAGAATCTACTTCAGTGACGGAGCACTTAAACACATTGAACACATTATTTTCTCAGCTTATATCCTTAAGATGTACAATAGGAGAACAAGAACGCGTTGAACTTCTACTTCAAAGTCTACCTGATTCGTATGATCAACTCATCATCAACTTGACAAACAGTAATGTCACCAGTCTAGTCTTCGATGACGTTGCAACTGCTGTTCTCCAAGAAGAAAATTGGCGCAAGAACAAGGAAGACAGACAAGTAAATCTGCAACAAGCAGAAGCATTGACAACGATGAGAGGGAGATCAACAGAACGTGGCCAAAGCAGCAGTCACAAACATGGTAGATCGAAGTCGAGGAGCAAGAAGAATTTAAAGTGCTACAACTGTGAAAAAATGGTCACTTGAAGAAGGATTGTTGGAGTCTAAATAAAAACTCCAATCCACAAGGTAATACCGCAAACACTTCAGATGATGGAGATGTTCTATGTTGTGAAGCGTCAACCACCGTGGAAGGAAGAAAAAGATTTGCAGATATATGGCTCATTGATTCAGGAGCAACATATCACATGACCTCAAGAAGAGAATGGTTCCATCAATATGAACCTGTCTCAAGAGGATCTGTGTATAGTTGCAATGATCATGCCTTAGAGATCGTTGGCGTGGGGACCATCAAATTGAAGATATATGATGGAACAATTAAAATTGTTCGAGATGTGAGACACGTGAAAGGCCTGAAGAAAAATTTATTATCCTACGGATTGTTGGATAATAATACAAGCAAGATTGAAACACGGAAAGGAATCATGAAGGTGTTCCGTGGAGCGCTTGTGGTGCTGAAAGGCGAAAAAATAGCTGCAAACTTGTACATGATGAAGGGAGAGACTTTGGTAGAAGCAGAAGCCTCTGTTGCCTCATGTAGTTCAGATTCGGTAATGTTATGGTATCAGAAACTTGGACACATGTCAGAACAAGGAATGAAAGTCCTTGTGGAGCAAAAGCTACTTCCAGGCTTAACAAAGGTATCACTTCCTTTGTGTGAGCATTGCATAACAAGTAAGCAGCACCGGTTGAAATTCAACACATCAAATTCTAGAGGCAAAAGTGTTCTAGAACTGGTTCACTCTGACGTATGGCAAGCACCAGTTACATCCCTAGGCGGAGCAAAATATTTTGTCTCATTTATTGATGACTACTCCAGGAGATGTTGGGTGTACCCTATTAAGAAGAAGTCCGATGTGTTTTTAACTTTCAAAAACTTCAAAGCGCGTGTGGAACTTGATTCTGGAAATAAAATCAAGTGTTTCAGAACAGATAATGGAGGAGAATACACAAGTGAAGAATTTGATGACTTTTGCAGGAAAGAAGGCATCAAAAGATAGTTCACAGTGGCGAACACTCCTCAACAAAATGGAGTGGCAGAGCGGATGAATAGAACCTTGTTAGAAAGAACAAGAGCAATGTTGAGGGATGCAGGCCTAGAAAAATCATTCTGGGCAAAAGCAGTCAATACCGCCTGTTATTTGGTGAATCGAGCTCCATCAACTGCAATAGAGCTGAAGACACCAATGGAGATGTGGACTGCTAAACCAGTTGATTATTCAAACCTCCATGTATTTGGAAGTATTGTGTACGTGATGTACAACGCCCAAGAAATTTCAAAACTGGATCCAAAATCCAGGAAATGCAAATTCTTAGGGTATGCTGATGGAGTAAAGGGGTATCGCTTGTGGGATCCTACTGCCCGCAAAGTGATCATTAGCAGGGATGTTATCTTTGTAGAAGATAAGTTACAAAGAAAAGAAGATGATGATAGCGCTGAAAAGTCAGAGACTACACAGATACATGTGGAAAATGAGGTTGAACAAGGAGATTCTTCTTAAGCAGAACCAACACATGATGAACAAGAACCAGGGAGTTCTGAAACTCCAACAACTCGTCAATCAGATCGTGTGAGAAGACGTCCCAATTGGCACTCAGATTATGTTATAGAAGGTAATATTGCATACTGCCTTTTAACAGAGGACGGTGAGCCATCAACATACCAGGAGGTAATACACAACTCAGATGTTTCACTGTGGATGATGGCGATGCAAGAAGAAATCGAAGCCCTTCATAAAAATAATACATGGGACCTTGTGCCACTACCACAAGGAAGGAAGCCAATTGGTAACAAATGGGTCTTCAAAATCAAGCGAAATGGTGACGATCAAGTTGAGAGGTATCGTGCAAGACTAGTGGTCAAATGATATGCTCAAAAAGAAGGTATTGATTTTAATGAAATATTTTATCCTGTGGTTCGACTAACAACAGTTCGAGTAGTTTTGGCAATGTGTGCTACATTGGACTTACATCTAGAGCAGCTAGATGTTAAAACAGTTTTTCTTCATGGAAATCTTGAAGAAGAAATTTATATGCTCCAGCCTGAAGGTTTTGAAGAAGAAGAAAAGAAGAACTTGGTTTGCAGGTTGAACAAATCTCTGTACGGTCTAAAGCAGGCGCCGAGGTGTTGGTATAAGAGATTTGATTCATTCATTATGTGCCTTGGATACAACAGACTTAATGCAGACCCTTGTGCTTATTTCAAGAGGTCTGGTGATAACGATTTTGTTATATTGTTGTTGTATGTGGATGACATGTTGGTTGCAGGACCCAACAAAGATCATATTGAAGAATTGAAGGCACAACTGGCTAGGGAATTTGAAATGAAGGACTTGGGATCAGCAAACAAGATTCTAGGGATGCAAATTCACCGAGACAGAAGTAATAGGAAGATTTGGCTTTCACAAAAGAATTACTTGAAGAAAATCTTGTCACGATTTAGCATGTAAGATTGTAAGTCAATTTCTACTACCCCTCTTCCTATTAACTTCAAATTATCCTCCAGTATGAGTCCTAGCAATGAAGAAGAGAGGATGGAGATGTCTCGAGTACCGTATGCATCAGCAGTGGGAAGTTTAATGTTCGCTATGATATGCACAAGACCAGACATTGCACAAGCAGTGGGAGTGGTTAGTCGGTACATGGCGAATCCAGGCAAAGAGCATTGGAATATTGTAAAGAGGATCCTAAGATACATCAAAGGGACCTCAAATGTTGCATTATGTTACGGAGGATCAAAACTTACTAATCAATGGGTATGTAGATTCTGACTATGCAGGGGATTTGGATAAAAGCAAATCTACTACAGGATATGTGTTCAAAGTTGCTGGTGGAGCTGTAAGCTGGGTTTCAAAATTGCAGTCAGTTGTGGCTACGTCCACAACAGAGGCAGAATATGTAGCAGCTACACAAGCCAGTAACGAAGCAATTTGGTTGAAGATGCTATTGGAGGAGCTTGGGCACAATCAAGAGTACGTCTCTCTGTTTTGTGACAGTCAAAGCGCCTTGCATCTAGCAAGGAATCCAGCATTTCATTCAAGGACAAAACACATACGAGTTCAATATCATTTCATTCGTGAAAATGTGGAAGAAGGGACGGTAGATATGCAGAAGATCCATACCAAAGACAACATAGCAGATTTCATGACAAAGGCAATCAATACCGATAAATATACTTGGTGTCGATCCTCATATGGCATGTCAGAAACGTAAGCAACATGATGGTACAAGGTAGAAAGAATGGTGTGAAGATATGATTGTTTCAATCAAATCTTCAAGTGGGAGATTATTAAAAGTTAGCACCGAAAACGGTGCATTAATGCACAATTCGGTGCAATGGTCAAAAGGAGCACACAATTGTTGAAATTGCTAAATGGTATAAGCATAATTTAGTCATTGTAATTTAGGGTATTTACAAATTAGTCCTTAAAGCTTCAACTATATATACCCTAGCTCATTTAGCTTCAAAACCATCCCAAAGCATTCTAGCTTTCTTCCAATACTAGAGAGATTTTAGAGAGTTTCTTGAGAGTTGTTTTCTTCTTTTTTATCTAGAGAGAATTATCATTGTTTTTTCCTTGGTAGATCGAGAGAGGTTGTAATTCCTATTTTCTCATAGTGAAATTCTTCTACCGTTGGCCGTGGTTTTTACCCTAAATTTTTAGGGGTTTTCCACGTAAATTTTGTGTCTCTTTTATCTTCATTTTTATTTTCTCAAATTATCAGTTGCGATTTTGCTCTATCCGATAGCCGTCTTCCGCAACAAGAAATACACTGAAAGGTTCATGATTGGGTATTTATTAAGCAAAGCACCCACCAGGGCCACCCTTTTTTGTGCTTGTGATGAATTTCATAGCCTTTTTAGTTTGTTTTTTTTAACACTGTTTGCCTTTCATCGTTGGATCCTTTGGATCTGTGGGTATTGATTAACACATAGAATAAGACCAAACTTTGCATGATGCTGAATAAGTACTTGGGGTCTTAAAATGAATTCTCCTTGCAGAGGGGGCAAACACAGAAAAAATGGAGTATAATCAAAGTTTCTTTTGTTTCTGAAAATGAAAAACCTGAATAGAACAAAAATCTGTTACCAACTCGGCAGGACATTAATAGGAGCTCTATTGTCCCTGAATTCCGTGGCTGCGCCTGCTACTTCTTGTTTTAGGAATATCCTTTCATAATTAGAATGCACTTCCATTTTTTCCAAGAACAGAATATACCCATAATTGCACATATGATTCAGTGAAAAACAGCAGCACGTAGATCCAGAAAGGAAATACTCCTCGTAGATCGTGGGGGGAGGGGGGAGGCAAAAAAAAGGACAAAAAATCAATAAAAAATAGCACAACATGGTTAACTTAAATTTACTCCCACAAAACCTTAGAAATTTTATCGCTGTACATCCCATAGTAGTTAAAAATATGGATCCTGATAAGCCTACGTATTCGAATATCGAGTTAGATTATGTTTTAACTCACTAATTTTTGTCTAATAATCTCTTAATTCTTAACGACAATTGACAGGCACTTATCTTTCCTCCCAGTGTAATGAACGATGTTTTCTTGCATCAGAGTTCTCTTTTTCTCAGCGATGAAACTGTCTATTATCGACCGAAACTCTTCACTACTCATCTCATACATTGATTTCCTAGGTGGCTCGGCGCCTGAAACCAGTTCTCGACTGATGATAGCCGTCTCCGACCTCCGATACATGCGGCTTCCTTGGGTTCGAGATTCTGAAACCATTGATCGACTTCTTCGGTACTCCTTTTGCTTTATCCCTTGGATTGGAGCTGTACGGTTCTCCGTAGCTGGTTGTCGTTGTTTAACTGGGGAAACGGAACGTTTTGTCTCTGTAACTGTTTCACAGCCACCGGTCGTAGGTTGCTGAGAAACTAGAGCAGCTGCATTTTCTATCAGGATGATTTGTTTGTCTACCATGGTCTCTTCCTTGACGGGGCCTGCGGTGGTGGCGGCTGATGTGGGCACACTACGGCGTGAGCTAAGGTACTCATCGTATATATCAGGACTGGTGGTTGGTTTCCGGGACTGATTTTGGTTAGATAAAACATAAACAGCAACTATGATAATGTTTACGAGGATGAAAGTGAAAAGTGGTTTATTAAAAGTAGAAAGCAAATATCGACCAAAACCTCCAGCTACCTCGACGGCGGGGAACAAGGACCACGACAGCAAAAACAAAACCAACAGAAACCCGATGAAGCTAAGACCAACCTTGAAATTCCACTCATCGTTATACTTCCATAAGCCATCTTCTTTCCCGGCCATAACATTATCAAATTCAAATGAAGCCATAATTGTTTAAAGACTAACAAGGAAGTGAAGGGGGTGAAGGTTTAAGGTTGCTATCAGGAGCATTAAAAGAGAAAAAACGAGGAGGAAAAATATGTTCCAAACGGGTAGCAGTAATATTTTTGCTAGATACCTGGAAACTGAATGATTTGAATTGGTCCGAGAGCCATTATATATAAGTGAATTGTCTGATTTTCTATTAAAAATAAAAATTTAAAAAAAGGGTGATGGGAACCGAAAATATGATTATTGAATAACACGAGTACTGAAGAGCTAGTGAACCAGAGACTGAGAAATAGAACCATGGCAGACCCACGCGTGTGGGGCGGGATCAAGTTAGGTTAGGTGGTGCGCAGACTGTTGTACATCAGAGGGAAACCGAGGGGCTCCCAAGGGTCCCAGTGTGGCACCTATTAATATTTTATTTTTCCTTTTTTTTTATGGCTGTGTCGCATGTCTTATCTTCCCATTATCAAAAGTAAAAGTGGGTTATCGCTTCTTCATTTCTTTTTGTAATTCTTTAAATTAATTTAGAAATTACTGTTAATATAAGAAGTGTACTTATATATACGAAAACGAGGTGTATTTATTATATGTTTCCTAATGAAGCGTTAAACTCTCTTTCCATGTCCCTTAATTGGTTTTAGGTTATGACAATAGTTTACAGAAATCAATGCCCTTTTGCAACTTGACATATAATCCGAGTTTTTGTTGTATATTTTTCGTCTTATAATTTATGAAGATTAATTTTATTGAATTTCTGTTAGTTCATTGTATGTATATTGTTTTATAATGGTACTATGTCAAAATTAGGCCTCCAACATTTATCAAAATAATTATTTTGATATTTACTTTTTAGAGCGTTTTGACCTCTAATTATTTATTTTGGAGCCAATAAACTGCTTCATAGATAAAAATATTAGTTAACAAATGATTAACACTCTAAAATAAGGGTATTTTTTACTCTAAAATCAAACATTGGTGGCTAAAATACTCTAACAATAAAGAATAAAGGCCAAAGTTATCATTTGATCAAACGTTAGGGGTCTTTTTACCCTAAAATTAAACATTAGGGACCAAAATGCAGATCAAAATAACTATTTTGATAAACATTGTGAGCTAATTGTAACATTATGTTTTTATAATCTATAAAGACTAATATTTATGAATTTGTGTTAGTTTTTTAAATTTTTTGTGTGAATGAGGCCATAATGTTGGTTGAGCAAATAGGTGGCGAGTGGCGACAATGATCGAGTTTTAGGAGAGGAATTTTGGGATTTTAAATTGGATCAAATTGAAGGATTTTTAAATATTGATGATTTTTGACATATTTTGAATTAAAATTAATTTGATAAAATATGTAAAATTTAAGGATTAAAACTATTATTATATCATGTCATATCACTCTATATTAAATCAATGATTAAAGTTAACGGTATTGTAACCAAAATAGAAACAATACGTAATATTAGTTATATTTTAAAAAAAAAAATAATTAAATTGTATGCGATAATAATTAAATTACTAAATGTGGGTTGTTTATTTTTGTTAAAAAAACACGTCATTTATTAACTAAGAATGTAAATAAATATTTGCCTAAAATCCTTAGTTGCTCTCTCCTTTTCTTTCTTTTTGATTTGTGTCATTTTTTATATATCTGATTAATTCTTTTTAATTTTATTTATCTGACGGTGATACTGATTTTGATATTAATTGTCGTCCAACAGTCATCTTTTTTATTTGTAATTATTTTGATCTTTCCTACTATAGATCCTCATATTGAATTTGGATACACGATTTTGTGTTCATGAATAGTTTCTCATGACACTCGTATCTGATTTGTTGTTCTCGGTAGTTTTTCAATAGTTTAACCCTTTTTATGACTCATTTGTCAATGCAGACAGATTTGTTTGTATCTATTTTTTATTCGAGTCTTTTGGTTGGGTTTTTAACCTCTTCCATGTATGGCTCTTATATGATTTAAAGTGGCTAGTTTCAATGCTATAGGAAAATGTTCAAATTATGTATTTAGTTTACGATGATAGTTGTAAACTCTTATCGTAATTTTTTATATTTTCACTTTCTAATAAGACTAGCGGCTTCTATTAAAAAAACACTAAGAATTTAAACGACCTTCATTAAAATATTTTTTTTATTAAGCCAATGTGGTTATAAAGTAGTTTATGTTTTAAATACTATCAACCATTTGACAACGAGCACTCAATCACCCTTGTTGTAATCGTTAGTGCTTGAACTCGGGACCTCTAAGAAAAATAATCATTCCTTTAATCACTGAAGTAATTTGGTTTGTGCACCTCCATTAAAATAAAATGAACCACAATCGGGTTATTTTTTTTATTTTATTTTGGTTGTCCTCTTGGTTTTAAGGTTTCGCCCAAGTTAATCTAGACTGACTAGCGTCGCACACTTGGTATTGGTAGGTGAGTCTTCAAACAAGAATTTTATACATATATAAAGGTTCGAACTCAAGACCTCACTTATGCAAAATGTAACACCCTTAACCCGTATACGTACCCGAATACGAGTCAAAAATGTCACATAGAATTTACAAACATACTATAGTTGAAAACCATTACAAATTTAAATTTTTAAAACTTATCCAATTTAATCCTTCTAATAGAATAATATAATCACATAAATTCATATTATAATAATTAAACATCCAAATCAATATCAATTTTAGGCAGCAACTAGAAAGTTCTATACTATTTCCTATCATAAAGTAAAATGCCTAATAATTGTCTAATTTAAAAAAAATTATTCTAATAAAATATAACTTTTATCTAAAACACACCTTACTTCACTTGCTCTTCTTAACCTACGCGTGAAAATCATCAAATGCTAAGTATAAACTTAGTGAGGCATTATAAACAAACTAAGGTGATAACAAATATAAGACAACTTAATAATATTATATCAATTTAAAACATTAAACTTGAATTCAAATAAAATCATTAAATATTCAAACTGACTTATTCAAACCGTTTTCCCCATCAGAAATCTGAAAATCATCATCTCATGATTTTGTCAAAACCATGATAATCAATATCAAACAAAATAATTATGTCACATTCTTTTTCTCGTTTCATTTCCATAACCAATACTTATACACTTCAGAATTCATTTTTAGATTCAGAACTGATTTCCAAACTCATAATTTATTTTCAGATTCGTAACTTTACTTTAGATTCATGGCTTTACTTTAGATTCATAGCCCAAAGTATATTTATGAGAATACAAGGTACGTGAGTCAGACAAGTGTGCGCAATAAGCACTTCACGGTGCTGTCATCAAAATATGCACTCCAAGTGCAATCATATCATTTGCACCAACGGTTCTCTACAGAATGTGTGAAATGTACCATATCAAAATCATAATCACTCCACCTCATGGCATGTCAATTGTACCTACGACTCTCAATGCAACATACAATGGACTTTCAGATCATATCATATTCATTCAATAATCAATATTCCCAAATTAGATTCATTTTTAACTCATCATCATAAAAACATAATTGGGGTTGTTCATACCCTAAATCATCCATAAAATCTTCACATAAGCATTTATGAAAATATTCTATCATTAAAAACATAGTTCTTTAGAATCCTTTTGTAAAATCATTCAGATATCGTTTCAAAAAATATCATATAAAGTATATTAGGTAATTCACACCCAAAAATCATTCATAAATTTTTATATAAGCATTATGGAAATATTTCATAATTAGAATTAAATCATTTTAAAAAAAGTAGGAGGTTGACTTATCACAAGTCTTCTTCGATCCGAATAATTAAATAAATAAATTACACTCACTTTGACACTTTATTTATAAGTCAAAATATAAGTCTCACTAAGATTTAAGTTTAATCATTCGCTTTCAATTTGCTTCGATCCCGAAATTTATCACAATTTCATACTCTAGCAGTTTGCACTACCTTCAAAGAAATATTATTTTGTATTAGTCTACTAAAAATTATTCCATTTATACCACTGAAAACTAGACTTTAATACGAATCTAACTATATAGGACACTTCTTCTAGTTCAATTTGTAAAATTTATAGTGAATTTTCAAATCTGACTTACAAAAGATGTTTTGAGCAGAATCTACTGCCTTGTTTTATGACCTATCATTGATTAAAAATTCATATCTTTTTGTATACTCCAAGAAATTAGTAGCCGTTTGTTTTAAACAAAATTAGATTGATATACGAATCTAATGGTATAAAAATCATCTGATAATCTTTTCTGTAGAATTTATGGTGATTTTCTAAACTTACTGTTCAGCTCACAAATCTAGGCAGATTTCACTAATTTGCATCCCTATCTTATTTATTAATTCTATTAGCTTATCAAATGAACATATATGCATGAATCAGAAAATTTTCATAACATTTAGGAGTCACTTCTTATCATAGCAACTTCATCATTAGCTCATCGCAAGCCAATGTTTGCACGATAATGTAAATACGAATTAAATATGCACTCACCTGGTGTCCTTAACTTGTAAACCTTCCTTAGTAATGCACATTCATCCTTAAGCATCTCCTTAGCTTTAATATTTCTTGATCTTGATTTCAATCATAATCTAAATGGACACCATTTACAAAACATATACATTTCAACCCACATATTAAAATCTTACTAACATAGGCACACAAAAATAAATTCTTAAAAATCTTCCGGTACTCATTCCATACTAATTCCTTGTTACAACATGAATTGATCTCAAAGCTTCAAATTGACCATTCAAGCCTCTTTTTATCCATATTCATCAGTAAGGCACACAATATTTTCAAACTTTACATTTTGACAACTAATTATGAATTCTTTTTGAATTTGTCTCAACTTTTCCATTTAATTCATAATGGCCCTTCACCGTTATGATCACTTCAAATTAATTACTAAAATTTCCAGCATATAATTCCAGCACATTACCTCAACATTTACACCATTTTCACTCAAGTCACTAATTTTCTCATATTTGTAATTTAGTCCTCCAACTTCATCAACTTTCCAAAATGATTCAAATTTACATTCAAACATCAAATTCAACATTCTAACTTTCAATTCCAGAATATTAAATCATCT